GGAAATTGCTAGTGCAAAGTCTGGGTTTTTGTCCCTTTTCTTTTTTGTTTTTGGAAGTTGATTGGCTCAACAAATTGGTTTGGTTTCTTTCGTCATCTAAAGAAAAGAAAGAAATGAAAAGGTCACATTTCTCTTTACTTATTTTCTTCTATCGACTTCCATGACCTTTCTGCAAGTATCCACGTTTCTATTCTTTTTGTGTGAATGAAACCAACTCGGGCAAAACCCTAAACAACCTAAATCAAACCCATCCATATCAATGGCGAAACGAACCCTACCCATCCTCGAGCAACTATGTGCTCGATCACTTGCCCATGTCCACCCTCTTTTACGGTTAACCTCAACCAGATTGGTGACCTATATGCCCGGACGGATCTCCAAAGGCCCGTTACTCTGATACCGGGCGACGGAAGGAATCGGTTCTCTGGTCACCGGTGCAGTCGAGCAGGTCATGGAGGCATGCACGCGCCTGTATACTTCGAGAGCTACGATGTCCACGGCAACATGAAGAAAGTCCCTCAAGAACTGATCGATTCGATCCGCAAGAGCAAGTGTGCTTGAAGGGAGGCTTGATTACTCCGGTTGGTGGTGGTGTGAGTTCGCTTTGCAAAGTACCTCCCACACCAATCCCACCTCTACAATTTTCAATTCTTTGCAAAGTAACTACCCAAGGTCCCAAAAAAAAAAAATTATTTCATAATTTTTGATAATTGACAAAGAAAGGTTACAATGTCAAATATTAATTCTATACTAGTTCAACCCTCCCGCTAACTTTGATTAACAAGGATCAAGACTTGGTAATTGATTCATTTTAAAACGTGGTAGAAATGGTGATCACACTAAAAAATGTGCCCCTGACTAGTATGATTAGTAACATGAATATCATAATGATTGTTTGAAGGGACATATTCCAATCAAAAAACGTCATATATCGATATAATAAAGTAACTTATAATTCAAATATCAAAAGATAAATAAAATGACTTTTGTTATCACGGTTGAGATCATTTTAAATTTACTTTAAAGTTAATCTAACGACTAATATTAACACCCTAAATTTAATAAGAAAAATAGGCCCATAAGAATGTGTTTGAAGTGACTTTTTAAAAGTACTTCTAAAATTATTTCTAATAAATACTTTTTTTTTAAAAAATAATGTTTCAAATTGCCCCACCACTACCACTACCTCGACCACCACCACCGCCGCCCACCACAACTATCACCGTCTCCTACCACCACCTCTCACCCCCACTATAAATCAATGTTTAAATTCTTTTATCTATTCTCTATGTTTGTGATTTGATTTTGAATATGCATACAAATATATTTATTTTTTATTATTTTTTATTACTCTGTGCCTCCAGACACAGGCAATAACTAGTCTTTATATAAAAAGCATTAAATAGTAACATAGCATGAAATCCAATGTTAAAGGTTGAAGTAAGGAGAAATCCAGAATATAATTTTAAAATATGGCTCAATCCAAATGCCCTGCAATATCATAAGACACACAGCAGGTAGTACCATCTTATTCTCACAACACTCTGCCTATTTTATGGTCAAATGTAGTAAAGCAGCAAAAAAGTGCTACTAAAAATTTAGTGTAAAATTACCAACCTATTAAAACAATGTAGTACAAAATTAATACCATGAATCGAAGCATCATAATAATACATACAGAAAAAAAGAGCTGTGTATAATAACAAGAGCTGTGTATAATAACAATTAAAAATCCCTCTAGAATAATAGAAAAAAAATGGCAAATTAAACCAAATAATTGTTTATATAGGTCTTACGGAATTCTTTCCCCTGAACTTGAGAGGTCATGTTCTTCTGTAGAAGGGAGTCTCATCCACATCAGAAGAGTGCACACCACAATTTGAACTTGATTGATAATTGGACACTTTAAAAATGTGCTTTCTCCAATGAATAACTAGTGATGTCAACATTGGCCAGTGCTTTGTGATTAGATTGCAATGCCTTACAACATCTGCATAGCTCAACCTCTTTCCAATAACTAACCTAGAAAAATTGTGAATTCGCCTTGAATTTTGTGGAGAAAATGCCCTTGTTGCTTCATTCACGGTGTTACATTCTCTACTTTTAGTTGCCATTCCGTTAGAGACCGCACCACCACCATATTGTGCCACCGCCATTATTATAAAGTTGTCTAAATTCTCCTTGGCAAAAAGAAAAAACATAAATCACTACCTATAATGAATCCATATGTCAATATTAAAACTTCACATACAGACAGTCACATTCTATATTGTTTTGCAAGAACAATTTTGATGCATATGCATTAAACGAACACATTTGCAATCCCAAAGGGAGAAAAACTGGGAATGTTAATACAATATTCAAAAAGTTAGTGTGGTTCATCTTTAATCAACCACCTCTCTGATACGATTCTCTGTGTGTGTGTGAGTGTTTGTATGGACACGTGAATACATAAAAAGGACAAAACAAATAAAACAATACAAACACAAACTATAAAGAAGGACAGAAACAGAAAGACCCATCGTGAGTAACCTTGAAGTCAACAACAAAGTCTATGATGAAGAGAGTTAGACATGCATTTTCAACAAGACAACCGATAGATTTTAGGGTTCGAATTCCGTCAAAAAAAATGCATAAGAACAATGACGTTGAAAAAAAAAAAACCAAGATGAAATAAGAATTAGAAGAGAGAGAGAGAGAGAGATTACTTCTTCTTTTCCTTTTGTTTTCTCATTTTTTATGATGATAAGGAGTTGACTTGTTCTTTCTAGGGCTGTTAAAGGGAATTGGTGAGACCATATACTCAAAATGACTGAACTTTGAAAGGTGGTAAGCAAAAGCATATACTTAAAAGACTGAAGTTTGAAAGGCGGTGCTTTCACTAAACCACCATCACGTATTCGGAAAGAAGTTGTTTTTGTAACTTGTATACCGCCACTTACAATCAAAGTTAAGAATAACAAGCTTGACCAAATTTATGATTTAATTTAATGACGTGATGGCATAATTTTATTTTTATAACATCGAAAATTTAAATTCGTACCTAAATTCGAGTAAAAATGAAATAAAAAACCCTAATTTTGTGCATTAAATTGTCATTTGTATTCTAGTCTAAATCGTCCGTCATTTATCTATGACCGTGTCCGTACAACAATGAATCTAATATATTACAATTACAAATACAAAAGTGAAATGGTAAGTAAAGCAACAATGGAAATAATGGATGTGGAGCACTAAGGTTGAAGTTTCTTTTGGTTTATGTGCGTTCAAATTTCAACTGGTTAAGACATCATCGATTGTATTTTACGATTGCAGTTCATTAGCAATAAATAAGATTAGTACCGTACATTGTATATCTATATAATAAAATAACTAAGTGTTTGAAATTTTATCACATACATATTTTTTCTTTAAAATCATCACATCACTCGTTTCTATCACATGTTTAATTATTTAATATTTAATTAATTTTGTAATTTAACATATTTTTTATTTGAAACATTATTCATATACAATAATATATACATATTGAAAAAATTTGTTGGATTATATATTTTTGTCGATATTTTTACAAAAATAATGAGTAAAAAATAAATTTTAAATGATGTAATCAAATAAACGAAGGAAAGAAAAATTATTATTTAATATAGTGATATCAATATTTTAAACGTTTGAATTTTATGTTTTATTGTGCCTTTAGACACAAATTATGTATATTTTCTCATATAATTGATAGGACAACAATCAAATTATATAATTAATATAAGATTGATCTTAGTTTGTTGGTGAAGATTTTGAAATTGGTAGAACAATTGTCAAATCATATTGTTTATGCATTCAATCAAACCAAATCATCTGCTGCAATGATTTTATATTTTTTATTAGTTGTTGAGAATACCCAATTTGATAGATCAACAATTAAACTATAAAATGACTGATGGTTGGTTAACAATAAGCCAATATACAGTTTTGTAATTTCATTAATTCACGCCAATAAATCTCAGGTTGGATTTTTTTAAATAAAATAATAAAATAAGATGAAAAATAAATGATAGAATTTTATACGTATTACTCTGTAATCTGCTAAAAATAAAAATAATAAATTAAAAAATGACTTTTTGATACTAAATTTTAACCCCTTAGTTACACATGAGAATTGTAAGTTAGATCTAATGATTTTATTAATCTATCATAATTGATTGATTGGTTATGTGTTTTTCTTGCTTCTACAAACATAGACGATTAATTTTAGAGAGTTGAAAAAAAAGTTAATCCATCAACTTTTTCATCTTTCTTATTTTTTTTTCTTATCAAATATGATATTTTATTTATCTCTCCAACTTTTTATCCTTCAAACTTTCTATCATTTTAGGTTTCAATAGTACCAAACGAAGCATTAAAGTATGGATACAGTTCCTATTTAATCCCTAGTGTTTCGATTTGTACAACTTAATCCTTAAAGTATTGATTGTATTTCCATAAAATGCTTTCGTCCATATTCATCCCAAACATCAACGTCGTATATTTTTCTCATTGTCTTCACTTACTACTCTAACCATATTTATATCATTGACTCTTACTTTTAACTTATATATGGTGAGGTAGACAATGTAGACATAGGTGTTGAGTGAGAAGGCCTTAGATCAAAAAATATTGAAAGTGAGATGAGTAAAAAAAATAAAAAAACAATTTTGATGACTTAATTGTAGATGAAATTAACTTTATTTTATGTGATAAAAGATATTTTCAAGTGGACTGCTCTTTCTTGGATTGGTATGTTTGGAGAAATAATCTATAATATAAAATAAAGTAAGTTTCAATAAACCCATTCGACGATTTCAAATAGTTTTATCCAACAGCCACCAATATCCTTCTCAAAACTATTCGTATTAGACCTTGTTTTCAAGCACGAGCTACCCCTAGTAAACAAAGAAGATACATTTCAACATAAATAATTAACTTTCCATCCACTTTCCTTTCAATTTTGGAGGGATTGATTTTGGTGAGTTAAAAATAAAGTTCATCTATCTACTTTTTTATTCTTTCTATTTTCCTTTCTTACCAAACATGATGTTTTATCTATCCCTTCAACTTTTCATCCTTCCAGAAATCACAAAAGCAATGGATTTCCGCCCTCATGGCTCCATGGGATTCCCTCCCATTCGAGAGGCTCTTCACTTACTGTCTCCTAAATCATCCATTCTTGTTAACAAATTAGTGCCTGCACACACAAAAATAAAACCCTTCAGATAATCAAGCAAGCTGGTTTTGGAAGTTATGAAGTGTTGATTCAAGAGCAAAGGAAGACAGTAAAGATGATGAAGGATAAGCTATAAAGAAAAATGTAGGTCACCCGTGGAGACCTCCTAAATCAAGCCATCAAAAGATATCGAACAGGATAAGTTCAATAACAAGAAAACACGTGATACTTCCGCCAATTCAGAAATCTGACTATTTGACTATTGAAAGGCAATTAAGCTTGACCATCCCAATATCCGCGGGCACTTGAGCTTTAAGTATTGTCATATTCTGATTATAACTAAATAACAAAAACCCACTAACCTCAATTCTCTTCCGATCCTTATGCAGGAACCACCATGGGCCACTCTTTGACATTAATCTAAAAAAGAAACATAAAATACAGTTAGCTATACGACACAAGAAATGGAGCAAGGCGCCATAATATCACAGACGCACTAGAATTTCAGAATCAAGAACTAGAACAAAATTCAAAATTTCCCCAACTCTCCCTTTTTGGATTGTTGTGCATCTGAAAACTTTATCGAGCATGCCAACAAAACAAGCCCTTAATAATTAAAATTTGATACAGAAAATTTTGAACCCTAAGCATATATTGAAACTGTCGCCTCGTATTTCTTTCATATAATTTCACAAAGAAGCAATTCAATCAAAAACCTTTACGAATATACAACCTTTCTCATCTCCAACATTATCAACACTTGAAGTCAGTGAGGTTTTTTCTGAGACTAGGCTGGCAGAAATTTCTTACATAAAAATGGAAACTTGTCATAATGTTATCCAGTTTTCCTAAGCATATATCAAACAGTAACCTCAGACTATTTTAAAAGCCAATAGCAATATAAAACCTTTCCTATCTGCAATCTTACATCAAAACTTGAAGACGACTAGAAAGTTGAGGTTGTACAATAAGAAAACCTTTGAAAATGGCAGGCAGAAATTTCTTCAAATTGAAAAAAAAATTGCCATAATGTTATCCAGTTTACCTGATGTATCCTGCCACCGTTCGCAACCCCATAAAGAGAGTCAAGCCACACCAAACACCGGGAAGACCAAAAATTGATGAGGCATACAGCGGAAACATGGAAGATATTGTCCCCACAAGCATCTAGAGTTCACTTCAATAATATTAATAGACACCCATATGCAATGCAATGCAACGCAACCCAATTAATGACGTGTCCAAACAGTTATTCGGCTTACCATAGAACGAGCAGCAAAAGCGAAATCCGAAGCACCACAATGGAGGCCATCGAAAATAAAAGCTAAAGAATTCAAAGGTAGACTGGCGCTGACAAACTGTAATCATATTACATAACATCACAATAATAAAGATGTTCGCAAACCACACTGGAAGCCAAAGAAAAAATAAAAAATAAAAAAGCAATGATGAAACAACATTTATGATAATACATACCAACACCCCAGTTCTAACGATTCCTAATACATCTGCATCACTGGTAAACAAGGTGGCTAACGTACCAAAAGATACGCCCAAAACCAAAGCCAATGCAACCCCTGTGACTAATCCTATCTGGAAAAAGATAATGCATAAGATCACAACAAAAAATTGAACATGAGAATAAAGAATACAGCAGTATCTCAGAACGTAATCAAGAGCATAGAAGTATGGCATACCTTTAGCACAAAATAAGTGACTTCCTTCACAGTTCTGTAATCACCTTGCAATATAGAAGTGGCGATCAAGGACTACAACAGGGGGGATTTTTTTTTTTGGGGGGGGGGGGTGTATCAAAGCCTGGAGTAAGAGAGGAACCATATAAACTAAAATCTGAGTGCACAAAGACTGATATAACCTGGAAATCTTTATTAAGGGAACTCACAGACCTTAGTATGTATACTTTAAAACTGTAGTGCCACTTCTTCTTTATTAAGAAGAAAAAGACTGATATAAACTAAGAGAGAGGAACCATATGAACTAAAATCTGAGTGCACAAAGACTGATATAACCTGGAAATCTTTATTAAGGGAACCCACAGACCTTAGTATGTATACTTTAAAACTGTAGTGCCACTTCTTCTTTTCTTTTTTGGGGGGTTGCAATCCGAAATGATTTTAAGTTTCTAATTACAAATCAACTCTTGAAGTTACACACAAGATTTTCACATTACAGTTTTCACTACAAAATTGGAGTTGCTATGAAAAAATGCCCAAACCATACCAAAAAATACAAATCAGGAAGAAATTAAATTGGACAACCATGCAAACATTGGAAGAAGTGAGGGTCATCATACCTGAGCAGATGCCACCAGTGCAAGTGTGAGAAGAGACACAGACAACAAGACTTGTGAGCATATTTGATGAGCAGCCGTTGCTAGTGGACCTTGACGTGCAGCCATTGATGTTGCCAGTGTCGTGGTTGTGCGCAGAGCAAGTGCTCTCCCAAGAAGGAAACCACCTAAAAGAGCACAAGATTTGTAACTCAACTCTAAAAAATATGTCCACATTTCCTGGAGAGTATAGTAAAAAAGGTGAAGCAGAGAGACACAGGTTTAGCATAAATTCTAATTATGAGAAGTGTGTGTGCAATCATTCTAAGGGGCAACCCAAGTCAATCAGGAACAAACTAAACATAATATCCTGCTTTTGGGAAGCAAAATTAGTATAGAAAAACATTTAACACATGTTTGCTTAAATAAGAGACAAATAATGGCCTACAATTGTCATTCAGTTCTACTATTACTTTCACAGCACAAAACAGTCGATGAATTCTACAGCTTAGCACAGGAATATCAAATAAGAGTACCAGTAACTTGGCATACCAAATTGTCTCACTCCCACATGTTGCGGCTTTGAAGTAACATTTACAACCAACTACATAGCACAATAATTTTCTTTTCTCCCAAAGGTTCCTAAGCTTGAAGCACAGAGAAACTAATTTACAAGTAAAAAGAAAGAACTTTAGAAACTCAGAAGCTGAAGTTATTTAAGCTTCATATGGTGCAATCCAAAGAGGTTCTTCCCCCTGAATTTTGCAACTCTGTAAACAAGTCATAATCACCAATATGTCACGCTTACAATGATTCAGGAACTTCCATGCATTTGATAATGGTGTTATCTTTACTCAGGAGCATTCCTAAGCAGACTGAAAATATTCCAGAGTACATGGATATTACTCAAGAAAACTTTCAGAATAGTTATTTGCATTCATGCCCCTTACCCTTACAGAGAAAACTACAAGCAAATAGTGGCAAATAGACAAATTACAATATCAGACTTTGGCAACTTGCTATGTTACGGGACTTCAGGTGGCTCAAGAGCTGACACGTGGATAGTTATAGCCGTTATGGACCTCAAAGGGTGCCAGGAGAAGGAGCCGAGGAGTTATGACCTAGAAGAGCCGAGTGTACACTGGTTGAGCCCAACATTAAAGAGGACATGACAACTCATTAATTACGATTTAACAGGGCTGTAATATCCTGACCCATCGTTGAGTGTACAGTAGTTATAACATAGAGTTTTATATTGTGAATCTTCTTAAACTTGAACTATTATGTTGAAAAGTCTCTTCAATATAAAATGTTAGTATAAATAAATAATTATCCTTAAAAGAGAGTTTTGAAAGATCTAGAAGAATTCGGAAAGTTCTAGAATAATCGAGAAGTATCCAGAAAGTTCTAGAACAATCTAGAGAAGTCTAGAATATTCCGGAAGGACTTAGAAGGTTAAAGAAGACTTTAGAATATCATAGATGAGTCTAAATATTTGTGGAATTATCATGTGTAAAATAAGCTTGAAATCTAGAAGGATCTAGGAAAAGGGAGATGGTAGAATATTCTAGAGAATCTCCCCTAAAAATATCACATGTCAATACTCTCTAGAATAATCCTTAAGTGCCTATAAATAGGGCATTTGGGGATTAGATTAAGCACACAAATGCACAAGTAGTCTTCCACTTTCTAAAAAAAATAGAGAAGGAAGGAAGAACAAGCCATCAAAGGAGAAAAGAAGTTGTAAAGGCATCGATAACATCTAAATCTACTTCGGGGAAACAAGCAACATACCATTTGGACTTGAGGTGAGTGGGTTGACATGCTACGTATTTTCGAAAATTTTCCGTATCCCTAAAACATTTTTAAAAACAATACATCGTGCTTGTTCATTCCTACTTTTACAAAATATTTTACTAAGTGTCTAAATACTTGTGGCATACGATTTTCTTTGCTTTGATTAAGTCTTTTGTGATATGTTGTGACTCAATCACTTGTTTATATGGTGAGACTTTATGATGGTGAATGAGGTCATGATTAAAAGTCCAGGGAAATTATTCCTCTGTGTGCGGGTGACTCTGGCCACTAGGGAACAGATCCGGTGGAGGTTGAGGTGACTCTAGTACTCAACGGTTGAAGGAACAGTGTCTGGTGCGTCTTGGTGACCTTCACCGGATTGTCTTAGGGAACAGTTCCCGGGCACTAACCGTGGTGACCCCAAGTATGGTGTTGAATCCAACCTTGAGATTTTCTAACATTTGGTATGGTTCCCAGATATCGTACAAGTCCTTACCATTATGAGGAGATGATATAATTTATTATTATCACAACGTTTTTAGTTATTGGTTTGGTTTATGATTATCTATCGTATGCCGTACATATTTTCTTGTTATCAATTATTTTATATTCCCTGTTTTCAAAATGAATATTACTATGTGTGTCTTACCATTCACTGGGCTTTAAGCTCATTCCGATAGATTATATTTTTTTTTCCAGGTGAAAGACTGGAGTGTCACTAGCAGACTCTGGAGACTTTTGTGGACTTGATTGTATTGTGACCTCCATAGGATGTTTTTGTCCATCATCTTATGTAGATAAGTATATATGTATACAGGTACTTTATCAGTAGACGCTCGGTATGTATGAGCAATAATCCTCTTTTGTTCGGGTTATGTAGACATGATACTTGATAATACAAGGATATTTTGTGTGTGTATTTTCTCCTAATGGTAATATTGATGATAGGCTTACATGTTCCATGGATAAGCTCCATGGTTCATGGCCGGTCATATCCCTCGAATCGGGGTGTGACAAGGGCTATTAATGAACCTCTATGCCCTCAAGACCAACGAAAACAATCATCATTACAAAGTATTAATTGCTATTGTGCCGACCCGATGTTCTCTGCATACCCCAAGGTGCTTATTCCCGAGCAGTAAATGCTCGGACGTAAGTGTCAAGCACCGATCAGATGTATTTAATGACCAAGAATAGGGATATAAACATAGTTGTTAGTATCGTACTATACGTCACGATACAGGCTTGAAACAATACGGATCGTAATTATGTATCATTTTTGCGTTGTATCGTCCGATACACGATACGTTTTTACAATACAATACGTATCAGTACGATACGCACAAAACCTGATTTTTTTTTTTTTGGAACGACGTCGTTTTGACTAAAAGAGACTGATTTTTTATCCCTGCCACTCAAAACGACGTTGTTTTGAGGCTAGGGTTTAGAAAAATAAATAAATCCCTCTTTTTCCTCTCATTCCATCTTTGGTGTCTTCCTTCTGGTCTGGGTGTTCTTCACGAGCAACGACCGACGACTGACGACGAAGACACAAGACCAGCAAGCCCAGTCTAGCCCCGACGAAGGCACAAGAGCCATCGACGAAGGCAGGAATCTTCCCAAATCTTGTTCTCCGTCTTCTCTCTTCTCCTGTTCTTCATCGACGAAGGCAGCAAGCCCAGTCTAGCCCCTCTCTGTTCTTCTGTTCTTCATTCAGGTGTCCATCGACAAAGGCAGGAATTTTCCCTCTCTCTCTTCTCTCTGTTGTTGAGGATGAAGAACCCAGTCTAGCCCCTCTCTCTCTTCTCTTTGTTCTCCATATTCTCTCTTTTCTCCTTATTCTTCATCGACGAAGCTGCCTTGGATCGAAGCTGCAACTACCTTCTTCTTCTTCCTTCTCCAGCTAGTCCAGCTAAACTTGTGCATTGTAAGTAATTCTGTTAATTTATTTACAAAGCCAAATATTTTTTTTTGTATAAAAATTCTGAATCTTGATTAATTTTAATTTTGTGAAACAGTGGCATCACCAACATCCTATTTTCATTATTTCATATAGAAATGACTAAAAAACTTGCTAATGATCCCACATGAGAACATTGTGACAAAGTAGAAGGATCGAGGTTGAAATTGGTGAAATGCTATAGTTGGTGGAGTATTAATGAAATGCTATATTTTTATGAGTGTATGACTTTTTTTCAAAGGTATATATATTTTATTATTTATTTAAAATTATACAGTATCTTATGATACACGATACGATACAATATTTGTATCTTACGATACGCCTTCCGATATACGATTTGATAGAAATCTGAGAGAAAAAATACCCCTTATGCATAGATAAGAATGAGCCATTAAATGTTGAGATGAGACTCAAAGCTCCTGCACTCATTGCTAGTCCAGGTATAAGTATCCCTCACAAAAATAAACAAAGGTATACAATTCATAACGAAAAAATACATTGTGCTGGGCTCTAACGCCGACTGACTTAAACTTCGGAGGAGATTAGTCGAGTATTCACCCGGTCCCTTTCCTAACCTTTGGACTGTTTCAGTTTCATCATTCAGCGAATCGTTATCTCTATTCATTGCAGGAGAAGGGGCCGACATGTCCCAGGAAGCTACAATCGTGATTGAAGTAATACATTTTTGCACAGTTGATAGACCAACATATAATTCACTACGGGCCGACCTCCAGAAGGTCTCGCAAGCCGTGAAGGTGGAGAAAAGCAAGTATGGGGGGCAGTCGTCTAAGAAACCTCGGCTCGACGCCGAGACGATCCACTTTTCCGATGCCGACCTGGGTGGGATAGTACTCCCACATGAAGACGCTTTGATAATAACCCTTCGGATCGACAAGTTTGATGTCAAGAGGATCTTGGTAGACTCGGGTAGCTCGTCCAAAGTGATGTACTACAGCCTCTTTCGCAAAATGGAGTTCATTCAAAAGGACTTGAAAATAGTGAGGTCCCCCCATGTGGGTTTCAACGGTTCCAACACCCTCCCCATCGAGAAGATCACTTTCATGATTACTGCTGGGGTCGTTGCCATCCCAGTAGAATTCGTGGTAATAGACTTCGATTCTCTATACAATGCCGTCATGGGCAGTACATGTTTACACGCAATGAAAACGGTGCATTCATCCTATCATCAGAAGATTAAGTTTCCCACTTCGAAGGGTGTCATGGAGATTTGTGACGATCAAACATCATCAAAAAACTATTTTTATGCCGCAGTAAAGACCGGGGCTAACGTTCGAGCCCATGATCATGACCCTGAGGCAGTGTTAGCTAAATGGCAATCACAGTTTGGTCAGCCTGGTGTGGATAACCC